TTTAGTCCCACCTCGCCAAGCGAGAGGCACTCGCAGCTGTTTATAAGCCCTGAGTGCAGAGACTATGACGAAGAGGCTCAATGCTCCTGCACGTTGGTTAGCTTCAAGCCTTGAGGAATACGGTAGACTGCACAGACCTATGTGCAGTGCAGTTGACACTATTCCGAAAGGCTTGAAGCAAATTAACAAGCATTGCGCCTCTTTTTTATTTTTAATGACTTATTACAACTGAGAAATAAAAAGAAAAAAATAAATATAGCTGAAAAGAAAAAAAACTATATAGAAAACTACTCAGAAATGAATTGAAGCAAAAAATAGTTATGATTAACTGTACTAAAAAAGGAGCATAGATGCTTATTTTTAATGACTTATTACAACTCAGAAATAAAAAGAAAAGAAAGTAGTTGTGATTAACTTTACTAAAATATGAGCATAGATGCTTATTTTTAATGACTTATTACAACTCAGAAATAAAAAGAAGAAAAAAATAGTTATTATTAACTTTACTAAAAATGAGCATAGATGCTTATTTTTAATGACTTATTACAACTAAGAAATAAAAAGAAAAAAAATAAATATAGCTGAAAAGAAAGAAAACTATATAGAAAACTACTCATAAATGAATTGAACCAAAAAATAGTTGTGATTAACTGCACTAAAAAAGGAGCATAGATGCTTATTTTTAATGACTTATTACAACTCAGAAATAAAAAGAAAAAAATAAATATAGCAGAAAAGAAAAAAAAACTATATAAAAAGATACTCAGAAATGAATTGAAGCAAAAAATAGTTGTGATTAACTGTACTAAAAAAGGAGCATAAATGCTAATTTTAATGACTTATTACAACTCAGAAATAAAAAGAAGAAAAAATAGTTGTGATTAACTTTACTAAAAATATGAGTGTAGATGCTTATTTTTAATGACTTATTACAATTCAAAAATAAATAGAAGAAAAAATAGTTATGATTAACTTTACTAAAAAATGAGCATAGAGCTTATTTTTAATGACTTATTACAACTCAGAAATAAAAAGAAAAAAATAAATATAGCAGAAAAGAAAAAAAACTATATAAAAAGCTACTCAGAAATGAGCATAGATGCGCTTATAGAGGAAATTCAAATTAAATTCATAACAAATTTCAAGAGAAATTCGTATGAGTTTAGCCTAAATTCCCTATATAAGGGCATCCATTTTCATTTTCAGAGGAGCTCAATAAGGCAGAGAGGGAGGGGCTTATAAACCGGTCTGATTCCCCTCCGGTTGGCGAGGTGGGACTAAACTTTGGCCGCAACGAGGACCAACCCTTTAGTCCCGGTTGGTGGAATGGACCGGGACTAATGATCGTCCTTTGGTCCCCGTTCAGGCCACCAACCGGGACCAATGGTGGTGGGCCAGGAGCGAGGGCCATTGCTCCCGGTTCGTCCCACCAACCGGGACCAATAGGTCCAGACGAACCGGGACCAATGGCCCACGTGGCCCGGCCGGCCCCTGGGGCTCACGAACCGGGTCCAATGCCCCCATTGGTCCCGGTTCTGGATTGAACCGGGACTAATGGGCTGGACCGCCCTGGACCATTGGCCCCTTTTCTACTAGTGACAGTCTTAGCTTACCAACTGCTATTATTAACCAACTTGAAAGAATAATGAGGCAATTTTTATGAAGAGGAAATGCTGACACCCCTAAACAATCATTAGCAGCATGGCCAATGGTTTGTAAGTCAAAAGATAAAGGGGCATGGGAATCATCAACCTTGCAATTCAGAACAAGGCCTTGCTCACTAAACATTGGCACAAGTTTTATAATAAGGCTAATATACCTTGGGTCTCTCTGATTTGGGACACTTATTCTAATGGGGTAGTCCCTCATGCAACTGTCCAGTGTGGATATTCATGGTGGAGGGACATCATGAAGTTAAATGATGTTTATAGAGCCCATTGTATTATCACAATCAATAATGGAAACAACACTTTGTTTTGGCATGACGCATGGAGCTGAGGTGGAAGCCATCTGCCAATTAAGGAGACATTTCCGAGACTCTTCTCCTTTTCTCTTGATGACAAGATATCTGTCAGGAATTTTATTGAAGACTTTGATATTGACACATATTTTCAATTTACTCTCTCTCATGACGCCATGGATGAGTTGGTTTCTCTCAATTCTGCTTTATCTGACTTGCAGAGAAGACCCAATGAACCTGACTTCTAGTCATGGTCACTTGGAAAAGGCCCCTACACTGCCAAGAGTTATACTCTGGCTCATGCACATCTACCTAATGATGATCCATGTAAATGTATATGGAAGAGCAGGTGCATTATGAAAATCAAGGTTTTTGCATGGTTGATGCTGAATGATAGACTCAACACAAGAGACATGCTTCTGATAAGGCATTGGAGATCTGAGGAGGATGACAATCTATGCCCTATGTGTGTGGCTCAATTGCACGAGGACAGATATCATCTCTTGTTCAAGTGTACTTTCAGCAACAGAGTTTGGAATTATCTGCAGATTACCTGGTATGCAGGATTAACTCCTAGAGAGTGCATTTTGGCTGCCAAGAGAAGTTTTCAGCATCCTTTCTTCTTTGAGGTGATTATCTTGTTGCTTGGAGCATCTGGACCACGAGGAATGATAGGATCTTCAGACATATCAGGCCAACATTTGGCGGCTGGAAAGCCAAGTTTATTCATGACAGCACCCTGCACTCTCATAGGATGAAGGCTTCGATCAAGCCCCTTCTTCTCCAATGGATCAATGCTCTGCCTTGATAATGTGGCATCTCCTTCTGTACATTTGTATATATTTGTTGTACATTCATAGGTAGATTTATTTTTTCTCCCCATAGATAGACTTAGCTAGTTTTGTTTTAACGTAAAGACTTGGGCCTATTTTAATAAAAGGCTGTGGGGCTTTTGCCTCACAGTGTTCAATAAAAAAATTATGGGTTTATGATCAAATTAGTCATTGAAAGTAAATGAGTCTTTTCTGAACTTTATTATGCATGATTATTATAGCTTTGTATTTCTCTCTGATCTATCCGTTTGATTTGGATAACTAGATTGATTTATCTTCAGTGGGAGAGGTGCTTTGTAGTAGGTTCAATCTTGCGATGTCCTCACCTCGTGGCAGAAGGGGTAGCGAGACACGTATCATATTGTTGCCAGTAAGGGTATAACGGCGGGGTTTAATCATATTCCATGAGTTTATTTGTCTACATCATTTCATCTTGCTTAAAGCGTTATTCTGTTTATTATGAACTTGATATCATAGATGCAGGTAGGAGTCAGTTGATTGGTGGAGTAATAGTAGTAGATCTAGAATTGTTTTGGTCTACTTGTCACGAACGTGATGCCTATATTTGTGATCAATGACATGAATGTCATCATAATTATGCGCTTTTCTATCAATTGCTCAATAGTAATTTGTCTACCCACAGTATGCTATGTCTCGAGAGAGAAGTCTCTAGTGAAAATTTTGGCCCTCGGGTCTACTTTTATCATATTACTAAAACCACAAATACTTTGCTACAATTTTACTCTTTTTATTTTACTTTTCAATTTATCTATCTATCACTATAAGATTTAATCCTTGCAAGTAACGAGTTCAAGGGGATTGTCAACCCTCTTGCCCGCGTTGGGTGCAAATATTTCTCTTGTGTGTACAGGTACCGCCTACTAGGATTTGCTTGGTTCTCCTATTGGTTTGATAACCTTGTTTCTACTGAGGGAAATACTGGCCGCTACTAACACCCTTCCTCTTCGGGGAAAATCCTAACGCAGCTCACAAATAGCAGAAATTATTTTTGGCGCAGTTCCCGCGGAGACTTCACCAAACAACATAAGGTACCTGCACACACACACACACACACACACACCTTATTTGCTTGCAATTATCATGTTGTCTCACTATAATAGAAATAAAGACATATAGATCCTCAACCACTTGCAAATCTTTTCAAACTTGTTGCATGTTGTAAACCAATAGCTAGTAATGAAGAATTCATAAAAGAAAATGCTATGGGGATACATCTATTGAATGAAAAGCATGATTGCAATTGCATTAGTATAATGCTATGAATATCAATTGTGCTAATCATCATGATTGAGATGATAATTGTGATGTTTCGTGTGATCTTGAAAATTTATTTAACCTTCATGATGAATATGCCATTAATAATAGTGTTTGCAATAATATTGAAAGTGGGTTTGGAAGAGCGTCAACTTTAGATAATAATGATCCCACTACTTTGGAGAATCATCAATTTTATGATTTTTTTTGAAAAAAGTGGGTTGAAGAGGTCATGACTTTAGTTGATGATAATCCCACTATTTTGAAAGTTTTTTGCATGTAGATCATAAAGAGAATATTGTTTATGGTAGCTATATTGTTGAGAGAGACAAATATGGTTATAGAAACTTTTACGTTACTCAATTACCTCTCTTAACGTTCAAATTGTTAATGATTCGTCCTTCTTCCTTGCATATGCTAAATACCTAAAAAATGTCAACCATGTCCTTCATTATGAAGGGGTATCGACTGATCTCCGTTATTGATGTATCTAAGCGGGTCTACTAAAGTAGAAGTGTTATTACTAAAACTGCGCAAACGCCGGGCTGAGCCGGACTTGTAAAAGCATGACCTTCCTTTCTCAAGCCCGAGCGCAGCCAAAGCCCGAAATACACTTTGTTTTCAAGCCCGAGCCCGTCCCAAAATCAATCCCGAAGCCCGAAAACCCGGCCCAAATGCTTTTTTCAGTGTACATATGTGCAAGACCAGCCCGAAATACAGAAAAAGAGAAGCCCGAGCCCGGCCTGAACTACCTTACGGGCTGCAAAACAAAGCCCGGCCCGGGCTGCCCATGCCCAGGTCGTATTGCCAAGGGCTAGAAATGTCAAATTGTCTCGGTGCTCCTCCTATAAATAAGTCGAGACCACAAGCTCTCATGGCACTCTGTACACCTACCAATACCAAGAAACAGAGCGCAACACAGACACAGAAGAATGGCTATGGGGCGGGAGAGGCGCATCAAGCTTCTCATGGCAGTTGTCCTGCTCCTCACCTTGGCGAAAGGTAACAGAACATCTCCAATCCAGAATCATGCGAGCATATGTATAATTTCTTGAGCAGCTCGTGAATCTATTCAGTCCCTAACTCATTCAGCTCGTGAATCTCTCTGTTCCAGGGAGCAGCTGCAACAAGACATGCACCGTGGCGGACCTGGAGATACGGCATATCCGGGTCGACAGCTACAAGCAGGACGGCGGCCGCACGCACGAGCAAGAGCAGGAGCACATGAACTCCGGCGGCGGCGGCGGCGGGCGCAAGCTGAAGCAGCTGCCGATGGTCATGGCGGCGTGGGTGTACAACCACTGCCCGTGCATGGTGGACAACGTGGTGACCTACGCGCCCGACGGCTTCTCCACCATCTACGCCAACGGGACCGACGAGAGGATCTTCTCCAAGGTGACGGAGCACCTCTACCTCATCCACCACGCCGGCCCGCTCCTGCCGGCGGCGAGCTGCCCCCGTTTTCCCCCCTCGCCGCCCGAGAACACATCTGCCTCTGCCGCCGTCCCGGTCGATGGGAAGGCGCAAACTGAAGATTTCAGCTGCCCGTCGACCGCTTTCTTCTACACCTGGTACGATGAGATCGAGCTCAAGCCTGCCTTCCTCGTGCCTCACTGCTAGAGTGCTAGCTACTGTACAAGAAATTCCATGTCGATCCACTGGGATTTCCGTCCGTATGATGATAAAATAAGTTGTTGGTGAACTAGTGTACTCCGTGTGCGTGGTTTAGCTGTAGAATCTACTCTTCGATTCTCACGGATGTGTAATCCTCTCAAGGATCGGATCTGTTATGGTTGCAGAATAAATCAATCAAGTATTTGCAGAATTAATGTTTTGTGCTTTTGTTGAGTTTGTGGGGACGGGTATGCTAGTGTGAGTGAGATTAATTGATGATGACACGCGTCGATGTTTCAGTTATCCGTTCTACAGACTTATGTTTCAGTTTTTTCTACGCCTGGTTTCTGAACAAACAAATGCATGTTCAGTACTGCCTTCAAAAAATGCATGTTCAGTACTGGCATATATTTGTGGTGCCAGTTCTGAATGATTTACAGTGCATATTTACTGGTGCTATAGATGTTGGACTGTTGGTGGAACATGCAAGAAAGAACCAAAAGATAAAAATGTAATAGTATTATCTAATTTGTCATTACTATTCCATATACACGTCGAGGCACAATCTGATGCTTATCTTGTTCCACATTTGAAAGTATGAAAACTGAAAAACGCTTCCACTGGAAACCATGCATGTGCATGCATGTGAGTTGGGAGTGGAAGTTACATAAAAGACAAGGACTATATATGCAGAAAGTTTCCTTACACAGAGACAGCAGAGTTGTTTCCGATGATAAAAACTGCCACCACCTATCGTGATTGGCAAGAAGAAAAAAAGAATGCCAATTCAGAGGTGTCCCAATACAGATGAGCACCACCAATGTAGCCATACAGGCCATGTTGCAGTTACCTCACAGCATGTAAACCAAAAGATTTTTTTCCCATGGTTGCTTCTGTACAAGTTCTTCCTCAAAAAAAGTTCCATATAATAGTACAAAACAATACTGTCTTCTTTGGAGGCAGAAGTTAGCTATATATTCGCCTCAACCATTCATACGTGCATTCCAGGAGTTTTATCATGGCAACTTCACAAGTGATTTATCATGCCAACATCACACAGTACGTGAGGAGGGGAGCACCCCCGGGCCGCCCCAAAGGAGCGACGCGGGGGGTCCGTTCACTTCGCCAAAAATTCCTTGGCATGAACCTCAACTCATGACAGGAGTGTTGTGCATTGATGCCGGATTGTGATGTGGTTGCACCTTTTTTTCGTAAATAAAAGACGTTATGGCAGTGAATTTCTTGCCAGTCACATATGTTATTGCGCAATAATAAAAGCGGTGGCATCGAGATAACGGCATGAAAAACATGCAATCTAGCGTTACATATACTGATCCATTGTAACAATCATCAATCAGCACAGATGTCACATTCAGATATTCCCAGCACTACGAGAATTCAGGAGCTTATAAATTAGAGCTGCATTCAGGAGCTTCATTTCAGTGATCAACGAGCCTTGCAAGTTAAACGTACATACGTCCTCTGATGCGGGAAAGTATCGGGTGCTGCCAGCCTTGAGGTATACAGAGCAAATACAAAATAGAATATGCCACTTACACCAATCTAGGCATTTCAGGTAACAGAGCAAACACAAAATACTTCCACACTATGCTAGGCATTGCATCGCAGTCCTGACCTAGGCCTTTATTATACTTCCTCATGGACAAGTAGTTCTTATGCTTCCTTTCCCTCTCCATCTTCAGAGAAAGCTGTGGGACAAATCAATAAAATGTTGGGTCAGTGTGGTTAAACCAACAAAAAAAAAAGGTACGTCCATCCCATTTGTATGATGCAAAACCAGTGGTATCTCCAAAAGTGGAAAAATAAAATGTCAGAACATAAGAAAAACAATGATCTGAAAACCAGTGGATTGAATGTGGCATACCAACATGAAAATATTATCCCACTACTTCAACCTATGTTAAGGGTACTATAGTTGTCTAGAAACAGTCCATTTACTTGAAGAGTGTGCTAGAAATTAATACACAAACAATTTCATAACATTGCATAAGGTGTCAACTTTGATATACCAGTTACACCGGCAAGCTGACTTGCTACCACATTTAAAATGTTTAAGCAAAAAAACACAAATGTTTTAAAAAGTGGTAGAGAAAGCGCTCCAGCCCCACCTAGCAACTAGACCACTGCCTAGCATTTCTAGGCATTTCGCAAAAAAAATAAAAAGAGCCAAGTGTACATATACTTCATTATACACTAAAATTTTAAATTTGACATGGATGAGTACTTCAATCAGTCAGATATTTACTAGACACAGTTTCCATACATCTCCCACTTATCCTCTTCACTACCCACTGTTCCTTCGGAAGTGCTCCTGCTTCCCAAACGAGCCAGCTTCTCGCGGGAGCTGGGCGGGCTGGCTTCTCGCGGGAGCTGGGCGAGCGTTCGGAGCGAAGCAGGCCAGACTTGGTGGGAGCTGTAGCGATAGGAAAACAGGAGCCAAGCAGGCCACATGCAACTGCAAAACAAATCGTTTTCTTGACTTGGCGGTGGCATTCCTAGTAATTAAGCTGAACTTCTCCTCCGCCGTTTCGTGAAGCTGGGCTTGGGCAGCTTCTCAAATTTGCACTGGAGGCCGCCTCCGCTTCTTGAAGCTGGCTTCGCGGAGCCGAAGCGTTCGGCCAGCTTCTCGCCTGCTTCCAGAGAAGTGCAGAGGAGGAGCACTTCTGAACGGGGCCCAAGTATTGGGAACACGGACCGGTGCTGTGCTGCCTGTGCAACTGACACACTAAAGCAGCAAAAAGCAGGAAAAAAACACCTTTTCGAATGCTTAAGCATCCTCCAGGGAGTTAAAAGCAATCGCTTAGATGAAAGACCTTAGGCGCAGCTTTTTAAACACTAAACTACTAAGGTAACTTTGACATAACATCTGTTATCAAGAAACTAATAAGAGTAGTGCAGTCACTACTATCATCTGGAACAACAGTCTTCAAAAGATCCCACTATTTCAACCTATGTTAGGGGTAATAACAGTCCTTTTACATGAAAAGTGCTAGTAATGCACAATTTCATAAAAGCGCACAAGGAGTGAACTTTGAATTAACAATTACATCAGCAAGCAGAATTGCTACCACATCCAAAATGTTTAAACAGAAACCACCAATACTTAACAAGCCGTAGAGAGAAGCAAGCGCTCCAGCTCCACCTAGCACCCACGCGCTGCCTAGTGTTTCTAGGCGTTTTGCAGAGAAGAGAGCAAAGTGTATATACTCTTCATTATAAACTGTAAATGTTTTAATTTGACAAGGATGAATGTTTCAATCAACGATATATTTACTAAATAGAGTTTCCATACATGTCACTTTTCCTCCTCTATCACTACCCACTGTTCCTGTTGTCATGCAGGAGACAGTATAGCATGCAAGAATCACTGAATAAGTATTGGAAACATGAATTGGTGACACACTAAAGCAGCAAAAAGCAGGAAAAAATAAAAACCCTTTCGGATTAAGCACTTAAAATCCATGGTCCCACAGCCCTTGGGCGCAGACTAATCCGCTAAGGTAACAGTCAGTCCTATCGTCAGAAACAACACTCTTCAAAAGAAGAGTAAACAGTCGTCGAAACAAGACTCTTCAAAAGAAGAGCTACCCCTCCAGTCACAGATAATCAATCAAGAATTTCTATCTTATGATGGGTTCCCAAATAAAACAGTCACCTAATTTAAGCTACTATTATTATATTATTATTATTATTAATATTCTCTAAAAAAACATCTTACGAACGAAAAAAAACGCCATCAGATACTGACATAGACCGCAGTGAGTAGCATTGGTGATGGTATATCAGCCTGGGAGCATGACAACACACACCTGGTGGTGATGCGCACGGGTCTCGCCGGGAGTTGAGACGGAGGATGGGTGGTTCGCGGTTGCTGTACGCCTCCCGCAGCGCCGCCCTTTTCTTCCTCACCGCCTCCGCGAGAAAAGGCTGGCTGAACAACCCAGATAGATTGAATTTCGCTCGGTTAGTTAGAATCAATTCAATTCCCAAAGATAGACATACGCGCAAGCAAGCGAACAAGAGAGAGGGCGTGCGCACATCTCGGAGGGGACACCGTTGGTGACCTTGGCGCCGGGGAGAGATTGTTCCTTCAGCTTCGCCTTCATCTCCTTAAACTGCGCCCTAAGTTCCGCCGACTTGACCGGGTCTGCCGCACAAAAACGGAGGCGTCAGATCCACAAGAAACTAGTAAAGAGCCAAGTGTATATATACTTCATTATACACTGTAAAATTTTAAATTTGACAAGGATGAGTACTTAAGAATCCAGGCACTTAAAAGCAATCGCTTAGATGAAAGACCTTAGGCACAGCTTTTTAAACACTAAACTACTAAGGTACGTAAAATTTTGTTAAGGGTACTATAGTTGTCTAGAAACAGTCCATTTACTTGAAGAGTGCTAGAAATGCACAAACAATTTCATAACATTGCATAAGGTGCCAACTTTGATATACCAGTTACACCGGCAAGCTGACTTGCTACCACATTTAAAATGTTTAAGCAAAAAAAAACACAAATGTTTTAAAAAGTGGTAGAGAAAGCGCTCCAGCTCCACCTAGGAACTAGACCACCGCCTAGCATTTCTAGGCATTTCGCAAAAAGAAAAAGAGCCAAGTGTATATATACTTCATTATACACTGTAAAATTTTAAATTTGACAAGGATGAGTACTTCAATCAGTCAGATATTTACTAGACACAGTTTCCATACATCTCCCACTTATCCTCTTCACTACCCACTGTTCCTGTCCTGCAAAGTAAGCAGTAGCATGCAAGAAGCACTGAATAAGTATTGGGAACACGGACCGGTGCTGTGCAGCTGACACACTAAAGCAGCAAAAAGCAGGAAAAAAACACCTTTTCGAATGCTTAAGCATCCAGGCACTTAAAAGCAATCGCTTAGATGAAAGACCTTAGGCGCATCTTTTTAAACACGAAACTACCAAGGTAACGTTGACATAACATCTGCTATCAGGAAACTAACAAGAC